TTGGGTTGGGTTGAACTTTTGTTTGGGTTGGGTTGAAAATTTTCAAACCGCCAACATTGGGTTGGGTTGTAAAAACGGCTCCAAACCGATCAACCCGGGCCGTGAGCACCCCTAAACACATGGTCATTAAATCTTTTTGATTTTCTTCTCCAATGATTAATCTCTACCTTTTATTGAAAGATTCAATGGCCAAGATCGGTTAACAAATTTAACACAAAAACTTTGGTTAGCATTTTAACCTGGCTATATATATATATATATATATATATATATATAGGGTTGGGTTCACGTGAGACCAGCCTGTTTTCGTGAGACCCGTGAGACCATATATTTACACTTGAAACTTCACAGCAAAAACACTGTGAAAGTTAAAAAAAGTCGAACCTTCACAGCAAAAAACACTGTGAAGGTTACCTTCACAACATTTTGCTGTGCAGCTTCAAGTGTAAAAATGTGGTCTCACGAAAACAGACTGGTCTCACGTGATTTCAAGTTTATATATATATATATATATATATATAGAGAGAGAGAGAGAGAGAGAGATAGAGAGAGGGTTGGGTTCATGTGAAGGTTTTTCATGAGACCTCTAAGACCAATTTATGTTTATTGATCAACTTTATAAGATAATGATCTAATGGTCTAAAGTTGCACGATGACAATTTTGTGATTATTGAGAAGTCTCGTGGCAATTTTGTGTTTATCAATATTCAGATTGTAAATCTAATCTAAGTGTTGAGAATTGGTTTTCGGAGACACAAAAACTATGACAACCAGCCACCCCTCCATTCCAAGAATGTTAGATACATTATACTCCGTCGGAGATAAAAACAGAGACACGACTCTAATGTTACCTAGATCTTGACGATGCACGAGAACAAAGATCTCACTGGAGATATCGACAATGCACCGAAACCCATATCTTGTTGGAGACCTCGACGATAAAGTATAAACAAAAACCTAGATTTTGAAGAAATCCATTTTTTTCCGATTTTCCTGTTTGCTATGGAAGTACTGAATAACCATTTCATTGCCACTAGAATGATTATGGATAAAGGTTAATTTGGTGATGGTAAACTTTTTTTGAGGTAACTTCTTAGGGAAGAGGATGATCCAATATGTGCATATAATGAATAAAAACAGCCAGATAAACTAGAATCACCAAGGCAAACACACAAGATAGTATCACCAACACTTCGACAATGGTTACTGCATGGACCACGAGATTTCTGTTCTCTATCTGGAGGAGGATTCAAAAATTCTAAGCCAGAATATTTCAAAGAAAGAACGAAGATCGGATTTTTTTGTTAACGAACAGACATGCCAAGATGCTTCCCGATCTCGATGGTTGCGTGTGTACCGAAAGAACAAGATGACACAAGATCTTGACGGTTGTATGTAGGGGAATCAGATATCGGTGTTTTGGTGGTTGTTTTTGCTTTATTTTCTTCATATCTCGATGGGGTGTTCAAATTTGATACTTGGAACTCATCTTATTCACAGTGTGTTATCTCATCGATGCAAGTACAAAAATCATTAGGTTCACATGTTATCTCTTTGATCATGGTGGGCTCTCTTTGAACTGTTGATGCCAATAACACAAAGTGTTTCTTTTGGTTGTTTCGTTTGTATCACAAAGTGTGTGTTCGTTGTTTATATTGTACCATTATTGTGTATCTTAAGGTATCATACTATGTGTTTTAATTGTTTATAATGTATCAGATTATTGTGTATCAGAGGGGAGTGGGGGTAGGGGAAAGGACAGAGGAGAGGTAAATTTCTAAAATACGTTAAAGGCCCTTTATTTTAAATTTTAATTAAAATTACCAAAATTATTAATTTACTAATTTAATCTTTAATTTGTGGTTCAGGTTTGATCTTGATATCACATAATAATGAGTTCTTACTGACTTCATGTACAAAGTAATGAGTTATCCTTTCAACAACCCTTATACATACATACATGCATGCATGCACACGCGCGCGCGCACACACACACACACACATACACACACACACATATATATATATATATATACACTATATTATAAAGCATTTGATAAAAACTCTTAAAATCCACTTTTTGTGTATAAAGTATTGTTTATTAATGCATATTACTTAAAACTCAAATTGCAAGTAGATTGTGCGTAGGTAGAACTTATTAAAGCTCCATATCTAAATTCGTGTAACTAACTACAAATAAACATAATCAAATACAGGATAAACATCTCATTTTAAATATAAAAAATCTAAAATMTAATTAGGATAATCATTGAGTTCCAACAGAATATTTAATTATTATCTTTATAAAATATTATATTATTAAACCAAAAATAAATTATTATTAACATTGATATTTTTTTGAAATTTTTTATGATATCTTCAAATTTATATTTTAGTCAAAAATAAAATCATTAATGCTTTCTTAAAAACACATAAAATCGAATTATAACATCAACAGAGACAAATAATAAAATAGAACATTAAAATCGAGATGTGTCTTGCTGCACTGCGTGAGTACTTTTCTAGTATATATATATATATATATATATATATATATATATATATATATATTCATCATGATCAAACTNTCAAGACAACACCGATTCACCGGTGCAATTTTTGTCTTAGGACACTGCGTTTAACGCGGGCCTCAATCGGATTTCTGGAACAATCAGTGGAATCATGAATCTACGACAGCAAGTAAGGTTTATGATTACTACTTATTTTGTTTTCCGTGTGAAGATATTACTCGAATATTGCAGTTTTCTGTTTTGTTCAATGTATACACATGTGAATACATTATATGGTTGATAAATTCCTAACAATTTATATAATGGATATCACAATAGAATGTTCATGTCGGAAGGGAGAGGGGCAGGGGAAAGGAGAGAGGAGAGGTAAATTTCTAAAATACATAAAAAGCCCTTTATTTAAAATTTTAAGTAAAATTTCCAAAATTATTAATTTACTAATTTAACCTTTAATTTGTGGTTGATGTTTGATCTTGATCTCACATAATAATGAGTTCTTACTGACCTCACAAAATAATGAGTTCTTACTGACCTCACAAAATAATGAGTTATCCTTTCAACAACCCTTATATATACATAAATGAATGCATGCATATATATATATATATATATATTCATCATGATCAAACTGGAAAATCTATCAATTCACTTGTTAACTTAAATACATAATACACCAGAAAATTACACATGAATTTTAGATTCAACAATGAGTTTCAAAGGCTTTTCTTTGTGCAAAACCACACCGAATTTGTCATTCATATCAAGTTTCATAAGATCCTCACCATTTGGAAGAACCCAGTTGAACCCATGAATCAGGGTTGCTAATATAAGTTCAATACTCTTGATGGCTGATGGTAAGCCAGGACACATCCTCCTTCCCGCACCAAATGGTATGAACTTGAAATCTTGGCTTATAAAATCGAGGTTTGCACCAAGAAATCTTTCAGGTTTGAATGATAGAGGATCATCCCAAATTTTAGGGTCTCGGCCCATTCCCCAAATGTTGATGAACAATTCCGAGTTCTCAGGAATCGTGTAACCCATAACCTCGCAAGTTTGGATGGCCCGATGAGGAATTAAAAAAGGTGCTGGTGCATGTAATCTTAGGGTTTCTTTGATACAGGCTTGTAAATAAGACAACTTAGAAATTTGAGATTCAGTGATTTTGTCAGAATTGATTTCTTTCCTCAACTCTTGTTCTAATTTGGACCTGGCCTCTTTATTTCTGAGCAACTCAGCCATAGCCCATTCCACTGTAGTCGTTGTAGTATCTGTTCCAGCAATAAACAATTCCTAGATACAGAAAAGAACATATAGTTAAAACCACATCAATTGCAAGAAAAAGATTAGAATATTTGATTGAACATTATTTATATTCAATGAACATATGAAGTAAAGTTACATAAAAGACTAGTTTTTAGTTAAAATATTTACTTATAATTGATTTATGTTTGACTAGAGTGACTTAATGAAGCAGAAATGAGGAACAGCACTTACGTTAAGCAATTGATTGATTTGGTCGTTCGAGAATTCATTTTCAATCAATCGATCTAAAAACGATCTTGCATGCTCTGGTGACCATGTTGAAGAAGCGATTTGAGATCTTCTTTCCTTTGTCATAACCTCCCAAACGCTAAACAGCTCTTTGCTATGTTTTGTGAATCCCTTGCTTATTCCTTGAAGATCTAGAGATCGAAATATAGGGTAAAAATCACTTAAATCCGTTTTGCCTACTTGCTCCAATACCTTATCAAGTGACTTTTTCAACCCACCACATGCCTCATTTTCATCTTTCAAGTCAAGCAAATCTTTGGAAAAAATTATCCCACTAATACTGTTGAGAACAGTAGTATAAACAACTTCTCCAATATTAACCATTTGCCCTTGCTTGCTACGCAAAAAATCCAACATGTCGCCTACCTTTTCCTCACGTAGTCTAGAGTGGGACTCTATGGCTTTATTGGAGAACATTTCCGCCCGACAAATGGTTCTTAGCGTTTTCCAACTTTGGTTGCATTCTGACCAAATGAGAGAATAGGGTAGCAATGAATTATGGTTAAATGCACTAGGCACCATACGAGAAGAAAGGACACGATCCTGAGTCTTGAGAATTCCCATGGCTGCCTCCGGAGAAGTGGCAACCACGAGAAGTTGCTTACCTAAATGGAGAGATATGAGAGGGCCGTATTCTTTGGCGAATTTGGTGACGGTGACATGAGGTTTTTCCCCTAGTTGATGTAAGTTTCCGATGATTGGCCATTTTGGTGGACCTGGTGGGAGGTTTTCTAGCTTCCTAAAAGATACAAGTTTGATCAGGATGAATAAAAGGAACAAGAGTGCAAATAGAATAAATGGAGAGGAAAACATAATTTCTCTTAAACAAACTATAACATCCATTATTCTTTATGTGTTGTTTGTTTAATGGGAAGGTGTGTGTGTGTGTATATATATATATATATATATATATATATATAGGGCCAAGATCAAATGCTAACTATCATTTTTGTGTTAACCTTATTAACTGATCTTGGCCATTCAAATCTATAATCAACGGTTAAGATTAATCAATAAAAAAAATTAAATTTTATAGTTTGAATTTTAATGAGGCCTAGTGAACAATGATAAAAGGGGCATTTTGGGAAGAAAAAATACACTTATCAAAGGTATTCTAATAAATTGAATTCATTTGTAACCCCCATACAATTAATAGGGAGTTACAAACAATCAACTCCCAAAAAATATGCATTCATATATATTTTTTTTTACTATTGATCTTCCATGTTCATTCTTGTATGAATTCTTAAATCGCATAAGAAACACGGTAGTAACAATTTTCGGTATTGATTAATTTGAACACAAATGAACCGTAAACACAATTTAAACAAAAATGAACAACCGTGAACACAATTTGAACACAAATGGACCGTAAACACGATATGAACACAAATGAACACGATATGTGCAATATTTGGCTCATATATTCACATACATAGACATCCCACAAAATTAAGGTAGCATATGTTAATTTGTGTTCATCTGTTAATTTGTTCAAATTGTGTTCACGGTTCATTTGTGTTCAAATTGTGTTCACGGTTGTTCATTTGTGTTCAAATTGTGTTCACGGTTCATTTGTGTTCAAATTGTGTTCACGGTTGTTCATCTGTGTTCAAATTGTGTTCACGGTTCATTTGTGTTCAAATTGTGTTCACGGTTGTGCATTTGTGTTCAAATTGTGTTCACGGTTCATTTGTGTTCAAATTGTTTAATACCGAAAATCGTTACTACCGTGTTTCTTATGCGATTTAGGAATTCATTCAAGAATGAACATGGAAGATCAATAGTAAAAAAAATTAATAATATGAATGCATATTTTTTTTTGGGATTTGATTGTTTGTAACTCCCCATTAATTGTTTGGGGGTTACAAATGAATTCAATTTACTAGAATATCCTTGTAAGGGTAAAATGAACAAGACATAAACCTATATGAATAATGGAATTTGATTGGTTGAGAGGATTTTCAAAATTAACACAAAAATGATGGTTAACATTTGATTTTTCATATATATATATATATATATATATATATATATATATTGCTTAAATGAGAGTTACTTGTTGCATGCTTATTGCATGTTTGAATTTTGAACTTTGAACTTTGAATATGCACCACAATAATTGCTTTCAAAGCTTTATAAAAGTAATTTAAGATTATTTTTCTTAA